AAGGAAACCATGTGTACAATGTCTTATTTGTGTACACACACACACACACACACACACACACACACACACAGTGTCAATATACTCATTGATGTTTCTCCTTAAACTCCTATAAGTTGCATGAGTATATACATGCATTTGAATCTTTTAGAAGAAATGTCACTTAAAGTGAGCTCAATTAATCAGGGAATAGTGACCGCAGGCACAGTATTTCTCAAACATGTCTCTGAGGAGCTGAGGGCATAGCAGAGCAGAAATGAAATCCTTGCCCTTGAGGAGTATGACGAGCACACTGTCTTAGCCATGAGACCTGCCCAACCAAGTTTCAACTATGGAATTGTCCCTTCTCCAGAGCAGGCACTTTGAAGAAGGTGCAACAGGTCCTTGATCCCCTTGGAGAGTCTTCCAAACACCATGGACTAACCATGGATGGCCTTTTATGTTATACTCTGAAATACAATACTTGACAATCTAATGGCATTGACTTGGACACCGAGTATGTTTCCCACAATTCACAAATATATTTCCATGTTTCCTGGGGGAAGGCCATTCACTAGAGCATTCCCAAATGTGTTTAAAAGTGTAGCAACTTACCAAAAGGGTAGCATCTGTTTGCATTCCTCCAACTATAACCTCCTCTATGTATTTCTCCTTTGTGACTCCTCCATGCCAACATGGTTATAGATTAACAACTTCTGTCAAACAAGGCATTACTTGTTTTGTGTGTGTGTGTGTGTGTGTGTGTGTGTGTGTGTGTGTGTTTTGTCTTTTTTTTGTTTCTTTGCTTGTTTTTGTTTTTTACAAATTGTGCATTCCCTGGACTAAAATCAAGAAATACCCAACTGAAATGTACACTTATTAAATGCCTGCCGTGCCTGGCATATATAACCTGATTTCATTCATGTGCTTCTTTACAACCCCTCCTCTCTTACAGATAAGCATTCAGGCTCAGAGAGGTTTAATGGTGAATATAATACACCTGATCCAGTGGAAAGATGTGTATTCGAACTCACTTAGGGGGCCAAGGTCCAAGTCTCTCTCAGCCACATTTTTGGAGCACACTAAAAGGTAAAATTTATCAAATGGTAAGGGTGTCTGTAGATGATGTCCCTTAAGATCAGTGAAGATGGTTAACTTTAAGATTCCTCTCCAAAATGAACACAGACTTTAGAATTGAAAAGAAGCAACTCTTCAACCTGACTACATGGCCATAGCCTACAGATAGGCCACCAAGAATAAAGCAACTAAAACAGTACGACCCTTTTTCCCTCAAGAGGCAGCAGGTCTCTGGGGCATATTGAGGAAAAGGACAAAGCACAGAGCTGCTGTGTAGAGAATGAAAGGATGAATGAAGACCAGGATGGGCTGCCTCAGAAAAGCATTATTGAGTTGGTGTCTGGAGATTTGCACATGCAAACCATATGACACTTGTGTCTACGTGAAGCCTTGATTCTAAAAACTATCAGGTCTTTTTCAGATCACAAAGTTTAACTAAGAAGATGTTTAACTAACCCAGAATTCATTGCAACCGGGAAGGCTGGCGGTAAATCCAAATTGTGAGTTTGGAGGCGTTAATATTAGGAATGGAATTTTATGCCATCTCAATTCAATTATAGTACTGCCTAGAAATCTGCATTTATTTTGGGCAGCTCATGTCCAGACGATGTAAGATGCAGCTAAAATTGTCCGTTGGCTATGCAAAATCTGTCACATGCAACTTTGAGACCAAAATAATAGCAACACAGTCAGAATCCTTATTTCCCCTTGAAAATCTCATTTAAGTATTATCTCTGCTGAGACTTATGTTTTCTACGTTTTAAGGAGAAAAATCTTGATTTCCAGTTCCCAGCTTGATGCAGCTTTTCACTCTGAAATGATTCTTGCAGCCGGTCTGTCCTGTTAAGAACTCAAAGGGAGAATCTGGCAATCACTGCAAGGCCAGTCGCACATTCCCTCCCTCTCAAGTGTAGCCACTAGACCTGGTGGAGTGTCTGGCCAGCCTGCATGCATGCCCAGAAAGTTAATCCAAATTAATCCCAGAACAACCATAACAAAACGGCCCTCTAAAGAGGGCCTATTACGCTCAGGGTTTTGCATAACATTATGGTACTCTTAATTCACCACCACATCATTCAACTTGAGCTGAATTCGAATTTGTTGATATCATCAACCCCATCCCACAGATGAGAAAACAGAGGGCCAGGGAAATGAAAGGTGTGATCCAAAGCCCACAGCTATTAACTAGAGGAGGGAGCTCATGGAAAAAGGGAACTTCAAAACTTGCAAAACCCAGCAGTTTCTGGGCCCCTGGACCTCAGCAGGATCCCGGTACACAGCTACCAACTCAGAGACTTTATTCAGCGGGTACCAAGCTGAGCTCTGAAAGAAGCTCAGGAGGTAAGTTTCCAGGTTTCCTGTGGCCATCCTCCTTCCATCCATGGATGAACAAGTTGCCTAAAACTCAGAGCCAAGTCTGCCTGCCAAACCAAAGGAGCTCGATCCCAAACTGGGTAATGTGTCCCTCGCTGTGGCACGGGGGAAATGAGTTATTCATTCACCAGATGAAAAATGCTGTCCTTGGATGCTCCATCCTCTCCAGATATGAGGAGCCCAGGGGAGTGGAGGTGGGTGGGAGGAAACATTGCAGCCTGCAATGTTTAAAGCACTCATTCCCCCCTCCATTTCTCTCCCCCTCCTCCCTCAACCCCTTCCTCCTCTCATTCAAAAAAGCTTGCACTTGCACTTGTGTGTGAACTTGGGGGGGAGGGGTGACAATGTGGAGGAGAGTAATGCACCTAAAGGTCTCACTGGCTTAGCAGTGAAGAAATTTGTATGTCAAAAAGAAAAAAAGGAAAAATAAAGGAAAGGAAAGGAAAAACAAAACAAAACAAAAAAACCCTCTTCTGATTGGCAGAGGCCAGGCCAGGCTTCTCCTGTGAAACCCAGAGCTGAACTACGCAGTAAAAAAGTCAAAGTTCACTTTCTCTCTCTCCCCCCACCCCCTTTCTCAATCATGCTAAATTGCAATTGAGCAGGCACTTGAATCCAACTATGATCACAGTGGCCAAGGAACTGAGGTCATGTAAAAAAACAGAGCAAACAAGCAAATAAAACAGATAAACCAACAAACAACCAAAAAACTGCAAGCAGGGATACATAAGATATGCAAAGCCTAGAAGAGATCTTAGGGGGGAGGGAGAAAAACCTTACATGATTATCTTCTTGGGTTGGTGAATGTATTGCCTGATCTATGTCCCTACAGGAAGCATGCGACCAGGAAAATAAATTAGAGCAGTGCCCAGCTGTAGGCTGGTTTCGTTAAGGAGTTATGAAAAGGATAAGAAGTGCTGATGTGAGTGGAAGGACAGGCTGGGATGCTTTTAGCAGGGTGTTTCTGGTTCCTATTATCACCTCTCGAGTATAAATCTAACTCCAGGGTTCCTGAATGACTCCCCAGGGACCACCACTCACTGGATTAAAAGTGCCCAACACCAAGCAGGGACCCCAGAGAATACTGCCTTTTATCTCGGGATCTGCCTGCATTGTTGACAGGGATCATCTCATTTTTTTAAATAACATTAAAGCAGGAGTTATCTGAGTTCAGCCATTAAGAAAAAAAAAAAAAAAAGACTCAAAACGGATATACATGAACCTCATCCTGGCAGGAGTTCAGCTGGAGCTCTCAAGGCAGATACTTCCCTTGACCCTCTTTGACAAAAATGGCAGCTGTGGGGACAGAAGGAGCAGCCCTCGGTGTGGCTGATCCCTGTCCAGCTTGGATTCCAAACTGGATTTGTGAGCTGTTCTGAGGCCTGCGGGAGGCACCCGTCCCATAGGGTTTGGCCATTAACCAAAGAGTTATAGCTTCTCCGGAGAGGCCTCGGTTTCCTTCTTTTATTGGCATGAGATCTCCGAGGAGTCTTCTGGCTCTAAAGTTATATGAGTCTATGATTCTGATGGAAGGCCCCAGAGCGGCATCAAGAAGGGTGAAGAGGAAGAGTTCTGTTAGAGATGACAGACAGGAAGGAGACAGAAAGAGGGGAGATCCTACAGGCCCTCGGGCTCCCCTGCATTCCCCACCTCTTCTAATGTTGCTTTCTTGCCCTCTCCCCCGCCCCCCGCAAAAAAAAAAAAACCTGTCACAGGAGAAGCACTAGGATGCAACACACAGGCTTTTTCTTTAGCTCCTTTGCCTAATTACTGCACAGGATACTCAATCCCTGCCTTTTTCTCAAGAGCCCTGTCCCGGTGATGTTGGGAAGGTTTTCTGGCCAAACACAAGCCAACTGCCCAAGCCATCCACAATCTGGGCTCAGCCTCTCGGTGATCCAAAGAAGTGGTGAGTTAGGAGGAGGTGGGGTTGAAGAGAAATGGGTCCTTCCTTCCCTCATCCTTAGCCCTGGCAAGGATCCAGGCGCACTGGACCACATTTGAACATGTGTTAGCAAAAGAGACTGGGGAGAGTGTAGCCACCTCACTCCACCACTTCCTCCCCCATCCTCACACTTCCTTCCTCCCTCCATCCACCAGGAGTCAGAAGCCATCCTTCATCTGCTGGGTTCACGATCTTTTTTTTTTTTTTCATTAATACATAGGGTTGATATGCAGTGTCAGGTTGGATAATGACATGTAAATGAGGCCCCTTCGCTATCCAATGGCTAAACATCTGTGCCTCCAGCTGCCCGGACTGCCAAGCAACTTAAATGCATCCAGGAGTGTCCATCACACAGCACTGGCACCCCACGCTGCAGTGGCTTTCTTGGCGAGATGTTTCCCCCACTGACGAACATTTGCAAAGACCATTTGCCCGGGATACAGATGACAGGACCCGCATAGGCACAGCAAACTGGCTTATGCGTGGGCCACCCTCTCTTTTATTCCTGGCTCCCTAAGGGCTGTCTTTAAAAACCACACTGGGGAAGGCGAGGGGAGGAGGGGACTAGGAATGCCACATAAAAGGGCCTTTTTCTGCATCAACAAATAAGAAAGTAAGGCTCACTCACTGTATTTCCGACCAGATCACAGCAACATCCAGATGGAAATCCAGGTGGTTACGAACAAGCGAAAATGCACGATCTTGACACCAAAAAGAAAAAAAGAAAAAAAGGAAGAAAAAAAAAAAAGGAGGTTGATGAAAAATCCAACGGGCAATTATCCATCAATTTCAGTCCACCCAGGCACGCATCCCACTGTGCTCTGCGGGGCGCCTCTCCCCCAATCACTGCCTCCTCCTGCCTCGGTCAACTTTTTCCTCCTCCACGGTGTCTTTGCAGATGTGTTATCAATTTCCTCGAAAACACCACCATATCAGGTCTTTACTTTCCTGGAAAAAAGGAAGAAGAAGAAAAAAAAAAGCCCCAAACTTTTCATTCCAAAAAAATATATCCTTGGCTTACTTCCTCCTTTGTAGAAAAAAACGAACACACTTTTTCTTTTGCGTGGCTCCTCGGTGCTCCATTTCCAAGCATCCTTTTTGGGGAGAAGGACGAGGGGTGGGGGGGATGGGGGGGCGGGCAGCTGTTTATTATTTATCGATCGACTCCCGCGAGTCGGACACCGGTCTATTGCATGTCTCAGCGCTCCCCGCGGGCTCGGGGACACATGTGTGCGGAGATCCCGGTCTCACGAGCAGCAGCCTCGCTGGTCCTGCTCTCCTGCACGAGCTGCTGCGTCCCGCATCCTTCCGGCCGGCCAGGCACCCGCCACCGCCGGGGGGAGAAAAAAATCTCCTTTTACATCGTGGATTCCTCTCTCCGGCTGCCCCCTCCCACCTTTCAGAGAATGTGGGGATCAGCTCCCCCCACGCATCCCCCTCCGGGCCGGCCCCTGCTCCAAAGATCTGATTAGATTTCTCATCACAACCCAGTGCGCAATTGGACTGGATGATGATGATTATTATTTTAAAATTTTTATTTCAGCCACCCCGGGGGCCAGCCACCTTCCCCACTCGCTCCAAATGCCCCGTGAGCTCCCCGCTGGCTGCTTCCCTCCGCCGCCCCTGCAATTTCATAACCTCCCTTTCAGCGGGGGGCGGGGGCGGGGGCGGGGGCGGAGGTGGAGGAGGAGGATTTCAGGGCCCCATCAGCTGTCAAGAAGACACCCATCCCCCCTCCTCACCCCCTACTTTTCTTTCCCTCTTTCCCAAAGGCTCGGGGAGGCTAGGGGTCCCCGCCCCCACCCCAGCCCCCGTCCGGTGGCTGCAGGTGTCGCAGAACTCGGGAAGCAGCGCTGCCGGGATCACGGGGGAGACTCGTGACGCGGGCCCTCGCCGGGGGTGGCCCCCACTGGCCCCGGGGTCCCCTTCTCCTCCATCTGCGGATCCGGGGGACGCCTCGGCGGCGAAAGGAGTTCAGTTGGTGCTTTTATGTCAGCCAGGGAGGGCGCCGCGGGGCCAGGACGCGAGGTCAGACAGATGCAACCATCCCGGGGAGAGGAGGGCGCAGCGGGGAAGGGGTCCCTCGTCGCGGGCTCCGCTCAGCCTCCTGGAGCGAAACCGCTGCTTTCATCGCCTTCCCGGCGGCGGGGCCGGGGGCCTCCAGGAGCCACAAGTTGGTTTCCTCTGGGCGCAGACCTTGCCCTCACCGCCAGCTAGTCCTCCGCCGGGAGACGCAGGGATCCGAGGTGCTTAGCTTGGCCAAAAGCTCGGTCCCCGTCCATGTCTATCCACTCCGCCTGGAACTCTCTTCCTTCCCCTCCTTGCTCCTCTCTCTCCTCCTTCCCCCCAAATGAATAAACGCTGCGCCGCCAGCAGCTCGAGTCTAGGCTTTCCCTTGGCCAGTGCAATGCCTAGGGGTCCAAATGGTTAGGATCCAAGCTCCCCCCAAATCGCCTCCCGGGCCATCGTCTTCCTTCACCTCTGCCCCTCTTTCCTTCCCCCTTCTTCCCCTTCCCGGCTCTCTTCTGTGATCAGTAAAATACAATTACCCAATTACTTCCCATCATCTTAGCACGGATTGGTCAATGGCTTTAACACTTCCAGCCGGGGGAGTGGGGATTGGCGCCACTGCGGTGGGGCACCGCTGCCACCTAGGGGGCGCAGCCTAGAACTGCAGCTGCGTTTCGAAGCCACCCCCACGCTCCAGGGTTAGTAATAGGCAGAGAAACTCAGGGGCTGTGTGGGAGAAGTTGTCTTTTTTTTTTTTTTTTCCTTCCCCTAAAAGCCTGCCTATTTTCATCCTGCAAACCGGGAGCTAGAGCTAGCATGGGGGAGACAATGAAATCAAATTGCCACCAGAATTCAAAACTCTCACCAAGAACACCACACACAGCTGCTGCCTCTGATGGCAGGGCAGGAGCCTCTGCCCACCCAGGTCACAGGTGAGGGTAACCCAGTACCCACTGCTATTACCTGGGAGAGGCTGGTCAGGAGGAATCCAGGGCCAGCTGAAAGCTGAAAGGAGGTAGCCAGCTGTGGAGCAGGATAACCTCCACAGGAGGAAGCTCGAAAAGGCAAGCTAGGAGTCCTCGGACTATGCAGCCTTGCAGGAAATTGGCCTGTTCAGCTTGTACAAGACATCCGGGCAGTTTGACAACTCAATTGCAGCATTCCTGGCTCCTGGCTGTGGGCCTCTCCGACAAGTCATGGGGTTAGGGGGGGTCACATTTCACTTTCACTGGGTCTTCTTAGGTTGAGGGGCCCACAAAATAATACTGTGAATAATGTATGCATGCTGGTTTCTTTCTCTGCTATGTGATTGTCCTGAAGCCCTTTCTGTAAGCTTCGATTACTCATTTTATGTCATTCAGATATGTACCCTTGAGATATGAAAAAGATAACATGGGGAACGATAATTCAAACAATAGACTATTATGTATGCTGGGGAGGAAAGCAGATAAATATTTCTCTTTTTCAAGCTGTACAATTAATGACCTCTGTGCCATTTTTTTTTTTTACTTGCCAGAGATCTGTATATGTACTGGGTTTAAAAAACAGTTTTAAAGAGGCTGCAGGTGACTCCATTCAAGCACAACCCGTAACATGTGAGTCTCTATGTGACAAATCATCATGACAAAAAGGAGAACAGTTTACTAAGGCAACATCCGAGGCATATCCGAGTTCACACCAAATGTTCTTTTTCTTCTTTCCTGTTCCCATTATAGTACAAGCACATTTCCTCACTTAAAGATTTTTTTAAAAATTACATCTACACATTCTTTGGGTATGATGTGCATGCTCATATGTATTTCAGGCTTAGGCACCTGCAAGAGGAACACCTTTCTTTACACACAGCTTTTGTTTTATGACCATTTCTCCATATATTTAGAGAACCTCAGTATAGTTACAAATTACATGAATATGTGAATTGGTGGAGGGGTAATGTCCTTGCTTCTGTTTTAAAACGAATGCTGTATTGATTGATTTAAAACACTCATGGGCAGTTAACTATGACTTTAATTTACCTTTTGAAGCTTTCATGTCATGTGCCAATTGCGGTGTTATCAATGAATGCACTATTGACAAGTGCATGCACTAGCTGCTTCAGCAAGCTTTGGAGGTACCTACGTTCTGGTTCTAAGGAAAGCCAGAAGCCATTGGAAATGAAATGCTTCTTTCTAGGGACTTTGACGGCCAGGGAAAGAGCAATGATTTGTTTTTCAGTGTTGATGATTAGCTACCTACCAGACATCTTCAAAGCCTTTCGTAATGAATTAATCTATCACACAGAGCAGCAGGGAAGGAGCAGTGCTATGTAGCCAAAAGGAAAAAGAAACAGCTTTCCCTTCCTGTTCGCCTTCCCATTCAGCAGCTGCCATTTGTCTTCTCACCTCAGCTACCCATTCACACTGCAGGACCTTGCATTCCTTATCTGGCTTTTCTTTTCAGGCTCAATTCTTGACTATTGGGCATCCACATGGAGAGGTCTTTGTGATGAATTCTCATCTACATTACTTTGTCTAAAATGCAAAACAGCCCCCCCCCACCAAGAGATTTTAAAGACCAGAAACTTGACTCTAAAGCCAAGTATTTGGTAAATGACATAGAGAACTTTTGAATCTAGATCTACTCAATTCCAGTTCTTCCAATCTTGTTAGTTTTGTGGAACAAGGACACACATGTAAGACAGGTGTGAGCAGGCAGGCTGCCTTTATGGGCTCTGTATCCCAGAGGTGGGTTTGTAGTCCTGTGGGGAAATGGAATTGTCACATATGTCACATGTCACTGAATGCCCTTACTCAAGAGAATCGTAGTAAGTAGTAAACAAGCTAACTGTCATATGAAAACACATGCCAGACACATTGTTGTTAAATTGCAACATAAATATTCTGATCCAGTAGAAGTCAGGTACTGTCAACAACAGGGTATGTGTTCTAGTAAAATTTTAAATAAAATCTCATGTAGAAATAATAATTGCCCAATAGATAATAAATGGGTAACATTGTCATACTTTCAATTAGTCCATGTAATTACCAAAAAGCAAGGAACAAGACAAATGCCATTGAAGATAACTCCAGAGAAGGGGGGTGCAGGGCAAACCTGGCAGGTTGGTTCTATGGACCCACAGAATTCTGTTTGTTCCCCTGTCCCAATTTGTAGGCATTTGGGTGGGGGAACAATGCTGTCATGTCACTTCCCTGTGCTCTAGCTGGTGTGATCTTTAGCAAACAGCAGAGGACAGCATCTTATAATCACGAATACAAAAAAAGCAAAAAAAGAATGAATTTAGTAACTTTGCTGAAAAATAGAGAAAATAGTGTCTTTTGTGTTTAGTCATTTTTTTCAACAGGGCATCAGCTACTATATACAAGCACAAGACATACCTAAGATTTGAGTCTTTATGTTACAAATTCTTTTCCTTTTCAATACCCTTAATGAAGGCCCAGACTATCGTGTGGGATACTCTTACCGAGCTTGCCTCTGCTGTCGCACATATTGAAGGATCGGAATTAACTTCTTTAGAACAACTTCTTTGGGAATGACTTAAATGATAAAATGCTGTATTTAGTGGGACTCACTATATGCCTTATGCTAAACAATAATTTAAGAATGCTGTATTTCAGGGACAGAAGATATCCTAACAGAAATATATCCTTTGTTCCTTGAAATATAGGCAAATATACTAAAGTCAAGTAAATTTGCAAATTTTGGTGTTTTTTAAAAATCTCTACAGTGATTACCCTTCTACTCAGACTCCCCCTCCCCCAATAGTAGTCATGCATTAATGTTTTAGTCAATTACAGATGGAAATGACTTGCTCATGTCGGTGTTTCTCACTAAACTATGATTGATTTCATGAACATATGTTTGAGGATTTGTTAGTGAGTTATTGTTTTTTTTTTAATATTTCTAATACTGGGCACATAATTGAATGAATAAATGTTTATTATGACATTAGGAAACCTACATCTTTTGTCTCTTACTGAATAGTATTTTCACTGTGGCACACAAAATATTAGATTAATTACTGCAACTACTAAATAAAAAAAACTAATAAAAATGCCACCAAATAGCCTAGCTGGCATGGCTCAGTGGTTGAGCGTTGATCTATGAACCAGGAAGTCATGGTTCAATTCCCAGTTAGGGCACATCCCTGTGTTATAGGCTCAATCCTGGAGTGTGCATGAGGCAGAAGATCAATGATTCTCTCTCATCATTGATGTTTCTACCTCTCTCTCCCTCTTCCTTCATCTCTGGAATCAATTTTACAAAAGCCACCAAACAAAACAATTCATCAGAGAATTATAAGTTATATATAAGTTAGCTCTTACTATATAATAAACTATCTAGAAACTTGGAAGCTGAAAACAACAATCGTTTATTATTTCTCATGAGTCTATAGGTCAGTCAGAGACTGGTTAAGTGGCTCTTTTGATCTTGACTGGTTTCACTGGAAACTAATCTAAAATGGTCTTAGGTAGGACACTGGACAACTCAGGTCTGTTCTGTGTCTCCCTCCATTCATCTGCTTGGTTCAAGCAAATTTCTTAGCAATAGAAGAAGTCCAAGGGAGCAAGTAGAAAGGCATGAGTACTTTTTCAATCTTCTGTGGAGATCATATCTGCTGACTTCCCATTGGCCTAAGCAAATCGCTTGGTTGAGCCCATTGTTAAGGAATGAGGCAGGTCATTCAACCCACAATGCAAGGGCACTCTAAAGTTACATG